TCGACCTCGGCCTGCATTCTACCTTAACTTTCGACAAGGGCCATTTTCGCAATCTCTGACGCTGTTCGCAGATGCCGGTGAACACAGTAATTCATCTTTATAGCAGAAAATGATTGTGCTATTCTCTCTGGTTTATCACAGCTATCGAAATAGCCGGCGCGCTATTTCGTACGAGAATGCTTTTCATATTGATGACTTACATTTTCCTTCGTTATTAACCGACTAATCGGGCCGAGCACGATTCATCATGCATCGGCCATCGACGCCAGCATGTTTGATGTTCAGCTCAGTTTGAAAGCTCAAACACATCTCATTACTTACCAAGCAACAGATACGCGAGGCAGATATTTAACAGCGATCACTGATCTATCCCGTCGATAGATGATTTTGTGTCAGCGCTTGCTTCAGCCGTTTAACGCAGTCTTCGGTTACAAGCACCAATCGGTATTTGCCGTTATCGCGACGACTGTTATATAAAATAACGCATCTTCACTACCATAGTATTACTACAAACGGCTCAACCATAGTAAGCTCCAATAACAAACATCACCAAACCGTTCAGCTTCCGAAAGTGTTAACCAGCCATACACGCATTGGGGTAATGTTGCGGCTTAACATTGGCGTCTTTTCGATAGCAATGCGACCACTGGTTAAAAGTTAATGAACCGATAGGAACGACAGTCGGTTTCTGGCGTAGTTTCCCAAAGTTCATCTGAAGTTCATGAAAATGAAACCGAATTTCGCAATATCGACGAACTATCATCGTTGTTCATGTTTTACGTCGTGTTCAACTGGAATTCCATGTTTTAGTTTGTCGAAGTTTTCAACTCGCTCGTTTTGAAGCTATTGCCTCGGCATTTTTCAACCTTGTTTCATGCTCGCTTAATGTTTTCAACCTGTCATTACGAAAATCAATATTTGCACCAGTTCATGCCTTCGTTACCATGTTTAAAGCATTAGCCAGCTTCATGAAAGCCGGTTATGCTATTCGCCTTCAGGTGTTACGTATCAACAGGTATTTTTAATTGCATTAATGGTAAAACCTTTAAGATGACAAATAATGAACAGAACGAACAATGAAAAGTTTATTAACAGTCAATCAAATTAACAACTATACCATTACTGAATAAAGCACTAAAAAATGGGCAATTTTTTAAAACCAGCAGTCTATTCCGAAGTTTTCGTACCGAACACGATTTTTAACATTGAACACGGTTAATTAATTGCGAGCCATTACGTAATATGAATATCAGTTTAAAGGAATACGTTATAAGGAGCAGTTTATCGCTAGCAATATTCATAAATCACAGCATGTATCATCGCAGAAATGTCTTCGCAGTGTTACCACGGTTTTCTACCGAATTTTTCACATACCAGCAGATCAGCGTTGATCTCAGGATGTTTCATCATACTCGGCAGTAAGCCTTTGAACAACGCTGGTGTTCAACCGTCGCCATATGAAATAGTTCTTCAATAACCGGTAGCAGTTGACAACAGCAGATATCCTTCTTTCATTCGACACGATGCGTCAGCTCTTCAAGAGAGAAAGAACTTCCTTCGCCAGTTATGGTTGTACGGCCTTTCATCTAAAGCCAGTTTCGAAACGACAACAATCGGCAAGAACAGTTATACCGCAGTTGTGAAAAGAAAACCTCCTGGTTGCATTAGGAAAACAAATTGAAAACCACTGCCCATAAGCGCATAATAAAGAAGGCCCATTCAATCACCAGATAGCAAAGATTTTCAATCACGCACAACTTGGTCGAAGCCTGAAGAGTAAGACGAATAAGTGAGAAATATATTTCAGTTGGTTACGATCGACTTTCAGTAAATAATAAATGTGACTATGAAACCGATTGAATCAATAATATATCTGGCGAACCACCAAATTTCATGAAATACCGTTCACCGTCACGTCTATTTATCCGCAAATACCGCCAACCATCTTCGAATCGCGCCGCATAAACATGTTAGATATTTGCGCGCATAGAACTAAAGCGAATTCATTATTGCGAAATAAACAGTTGTTTTGTCCGACACTGTCAATTCAACAACCGTTTATTAACATCATCAATAGTGAAGTCGCAAATGCATTAGACGGTAATTGCCAGTTCCATCAGAATGACCATTTAAAAACCATATTCTTTTCGGGTTACCATATTTTCGAAATTTCTGAATGTCACAGCTAACACAAAGAAATTGAGCTAACTCATCAGCCAATCGCTTATAAAACTAAAACCGTGCAAGATTGTTCTAGAATGATATCTCTCAGTACTTTATCTCACAGCTCTACAAGAGTCACCTGGTACCTTCAGCTTCACTACCATGTTCCGAGCACACCTCAACAAAAGCCAAGGAAAGATATGCATAGCAGATAGTACTATTTGGACGTTAAAATAGTAGCTGCCTACGCATTTTCGACGCGACATTGTTTTATTAACGTAAAGACGTACGACACAAAATCAGAAATGAGATGTGCTCATTCGGATAGCATAAGCATTCAAAAGAAGTGCGCTTCGATTTCAATATGTGAAAACAGCCGCATTTCTGACAGCCTCTTCAATGGTTTCGAGAAAAGTCGAAAAATAAGATGACAAATACCGTTACGCTCCGTCATTTCATTCCGGCCGAGCAACATTATTCAAAATATGCGCCGAATAAAGACATGACGTCACCGTTGCAGTACAATAATCGCTCAACCTCGGTACTGCATACCTTTCGGGTCTTCCTTCGTTTCCTCTTTCACAACAGGTACACCCGGTTCTCCCTTCATACCCCGCCCGTCTTTACCCGCATACGTCATTGTAATCGCTCGTTCCGCTCGCAGCCTTCAAGTTTCCTTCGCCTTCAAGGTCATTGCACTTCAAATTTCGTTCAAGCCTGTTCCTCTCGTTTCATACCACAGGTACACGCCTGATACAGTTTTCTGTCTCCCCGTTACCACAGGTACACCGTTGTCTCCATTTCATAATTGTCAGGTACAATTGTCAGTTCGGTTCGTTTTCGTCTTCCTCTTCTTCTTTTCATCTTTCAGGCCGTCAGTCTGGTTCGCGCCATTTCGTCTTCCCTGCTTCATACCAGTAAGGCCACCGCTCACCTTCGTTCGGTTGCTTTCGCCTCATTACCTTCGATAACACCAACGCCCGCATACAGCTCGGTCTCCTCGTTTCTTCGATAGCCTGTTGCGGTACACCGTTCGTCTTTGTTCGCATAGCCTTTCTGTCTTCCTCACTACACCGCACCAATTCCGGTTCCGCTACAGCCGCTTCCGCCTTCTTCGTTTCTTTACGCAAAGGTATTTAAAGTGATTACGATCGCCTAGTCAAACATTTGAAACATTGTTGTACATTGCGGCAGGAAGACAACTTTATTTATCACTGTTATATTTAAAGAAGAAACAATAGCTTGAAATATATTACCGAAATAATACGGTTAAAAGCATCGTACCGTAGAATGGGTGTTAACAACAGAAAGATGATCATCTTCAACATGTAATATATCCGTGCCAGCCATGTACACAGAATTAAAATATAATGAAGGCTAAGCCGTAGGCCGTACACGGTGTCAATTTTTCATTGCTGAAATGTCATCGATAAGAAATAATAAGCAGCAAAAAATAGAAGAATAAATATCAGTTTCAGTAGTTGTAGAATGTTAATGAAAGAAACAGATATGAATAATTACAAGGTTATTTAGATTGACACGTATAAGTATCCCTAACAACTTTATTATTAAACTTTCTATGCAATTGTGAATCAAATAACTAATATTCAGATAAAATTATGACATATAAATAATATCAATTTGTTAAATTGTGCCTATACACTAATAATAGTCTATTTAAAGTTTGAAAATCCTTTTTCAAATCAGTTTCAAAATATTGAATAATTATCAACATCAATATAAGTTTTGGTAGGAATTGATTGTTGTTAAACAATTCGAGCGCAATCAGTTTGGTCAAAGAACAAATACAAATGATTGGTTATTCATCAGGTTGGTTCAATATCGCCTTTCAATAACAGTCTTAAAGAATTAAACACTGTTTTCATTACAGCGATAATATTCGTATTTATTAAATCTAAATAGCTGTTTGAGGATCTTGAAAGCCTTGAGAAAAGTCAGTAATATATGTTGATATGTGGTTCATATTTTATTGCAAACATAATATTTCATACATTAATATATCGAAAGCTCTGGAGGATGGAGACACTGAATATAAGGACAATAAATATTAGGATGACTTGATGGAACTCGACAAGCAAATGCGTGTCGACATTTTGGCAAGGAGATTATTATGAACCAGTGCTCCATCAACTCAAGAACTCGATTCATTATGGTAATGTATGAAATATTATGTTTGCAATAAAAATATAGACCACATATATATCCAGCAATATTACTGACACGTTGTAAAGACTCAAGATCACTTCCAAACGTATTTAGATTTAATAAATACGAATATTATCCTTATGTAAGAAAACCAGTGTTTGGAAATTCTTTTAAAGTTTGTTATTGAAAATTTTGATATTTGAACCAATACAGGTGGGGATAGCCAGTCATTTTGTATTTATAGGAATTCTTTGACCAAATTTGGTGCATGGTTACAGATTGTTTAATAACAATCAAACACTTCCATACCAAAATACTATATTGGTGTTGAGTGGATACATTATCAATTCAATATTTTTGGAAACTGATTTGGAAAAAGGTTTTCAAACTAAAGTAAGATATTATTAGTGTATAAGGTAATTTAACTAAATTATTTGATGCAAACAATTTTACACTTATGTCACGAATTTTATCTGAAGAGATGTGGATTGTGTTTGATTCACAGAGAAATTTGCATAGAAAGTTTAAGTTTAATAATAAAGTTGTTATTAATAGGGATACACTTATACATTGTCAATCTAAAATAATATATGAATTATTCATATCTGGTTTCTTTTCATATTATTGTATTCTACAACTTGCAAACTGATATTTATTCTTCTATTTTTGCCTTATTGTTTTCTTAATCGACTAATTTCTACATTTCCAGCAATCCATTAGGGCAGTGGTGGAAAAATTGAAGAAGGCGACCGATGACCAACTGATTTTGACCTACAACAGGTAATTCAAATCCTTCAGTATAAACAATTCTGTGTACATGAAAAGAAATTACAGCAAAGTTATGGCCATGTTGAAGATGAACATCTTTCATATTTGTGTTAGCACTACATTCATGTCATTTTGTAATCCTCCCTACAGAATTTGCAATGCACAGCCATATTATTTCAGTAATATAATTTCAAATATTATTGTTTCTTTAAAATGTAATTGTGAAATAAAGTTATTTTATCCAGTCTTCACTACTACTCACAATGCTAAACAATGTTTCAAATATTTTGACTAAATGATCAATAATCACTTTCATACTAGCTGTTACTTTTGCAGCAAAGAAGAAGATGAAGAAGGCATGAAGAGAGTAGTGAGGGAGACCAGAAGGCTGTATGCAGACCAGGGTTGGGCAGTTGGTACCTGTGAAGGTATGAAGAGAGTAGTGAGGGAGACCAGAAGGCTGTATGCAGACCAGGGTTGGGCAGTTGGTACCTGTGAAGGTATGAAGAGAGTAGTAAGGGAGACCAGAAGGCTGTATGCAGACCAGGGTTGGGCAGTTGGTACCTGTGAAGGTATGAAGAGAGTAGTAAGGGAGACCAGAAGGCTGTATGCAGACCAGGGTTGGGTAGTTGGTACCTGTGAAGGTATGAAGAGAGTAGTAAGGAGACCAGAAGGCTGTATGCAGACCAGGGTTGGGCAGTTGGTACCTGTGAAGGTATGAAGAGAGTAGTAAGGGAGACCAGAAGGCTGTATGCAGACCAGGGTTGGGTAGTTGGTACCTGTGAAGGTATGAAGAGAGTAGTAAGGGAGACCAGAAGGCTGTATGCAGACCAGGGTTGGGCAGTTGGTACCTGTGAAGGTATGAAGAGAGTAGTAAGGGAGACCAGAAGGCTGTATGCAGACCAGGGTTGGGCAGTTGGTACCTGTGAAGGTATGAAGAGAGTAGTAAGGAGACCAGAAGGCTGTATGCAGACCAGGGTTGGGCAGTTGGTACCTGTGAAGGTATGAAGAGAGTAGTAAGGGAGACCAGAAGGCTGTATGCAGGCCAGGGTTGGGCAGTTGGTACCTGTGAAGGTATGAAGAGAGTAGTAAGGGAGACCAGAAGGCTGTATGCAGACCAGGGTTGGGCAGTTGGTACCTGTGAAGGTATGAAGAGAGTAGTGAGGGAGACCAGAAGGCTGTATGCAGACCAGGGTTGGGCAGTTGGTACCTGTGAAGGTATGAAGAGAGTAGTAAGGGAGACCAGAAGGCTGTATGCAGACCAGGGTTGGGCAGTTGGTACCTGTGAAGGTATGACATCATATAGCTATTCAGCACACTATTTTAGAATAATGTCATCACCCAACTTTTGACCTTTTCAGCCAGGAATGAAATGAATGGGCATGGCAGGGCATCTGTTTGTCATCTTTATTCATTTTCGACTTTTCTCAAGAACCATTGGCTATAAAGGGAGCTATCAAATGCACAACTGTTTTCCACTATTGAAATCAAAAGCTATACCTTCTTTGAGATACTTATACTATCAGATGAACACATCTCATTTCTGATTTTATGTCAATGCATCTTTGCATTAATAAAATAATGTAAATCATATAAATCAGAAAAATGCATAAAAACAGCTACTATTTTTTAACATCCAAATGGAAATACTATCTACTTATACATATCTCCTTTCAGAAGCTTTTTGGTGGGTGTGGACCAACAAGAGGGATGACCTGAGAAGACAACGAAGTGGAAAGGCAGAGGCCCACAGGTTGTCTGCTAAGAACAGCAAAAGGGTCAGATCAGTAAGTACAGAATATCTAATCATTCTAAATTCTAATCTTACACAGTTTAAAGTTTTAACATAAACTTGATTGGAAACAATTGGAAGTTAATGTAATTTCTTGTATTGTACTGTGACATTCAAAAGAAATTTCAAAATGAACATTTTTTAATAAGTTTTAAATAGTAAAGCCCCAGGGTATAGGGTTTTTTTTAAATGTGGGGTCATTCTAGTCGACTAGAAACTGAATGGGTGTTCCCCTCAATCTAATATCTCACATTTTGCAGCTACTGTGTGGTGGTGTTAATAAACAATTGTTAATTGATATGTTCAAGGTGAAATGTCCAGACCAAAAACAACTGTTTATTTTCACAATAATGGATAATTCATAGTTCTATACGCATAATATCTAAACATGATTTATGCAACATTCAGAAGATAAGATGGCTTTCACAGGAACATTTTGCAGATAAATAGGCAATGACAGTGAACAGTATTTCATAAATTTAGTGAGCGTTCATAAGATATATTATTGATTCAATGTCAGTTTCCCATAAGTCACATTTATTATTTACTGAAAGAGAATCAGTCATGAAATGTCCAACCCAAGCTAAGGAAATATGACCTCTCACTTGTGTCTGTACTCTTTCAAATTTCATTAAGTTGTACTGTGATTGAAATCTTTGCCCCTTTACATGTCATTTCAGGTGATTAGTTAGATTTCTTATTACTACTTGCTTATAGAACAGTGGTTTCAATTTATTTTTCCTAAAGCAATATTGGGAGGTTTTCTTTTTTCTAGCTACGGAGATTGTTGACGAATGCTTGTTTGTACTGATTGTTTATCGTTTTCTAAATTTCAGAAACTGGAAAGCAGGATGAAGGCCATTGCAACCATAGACTGGCCGGAGAAGAAGAAGGAGAAAGTTCTTCCTCTCTTAAGGAAAGAGCTGACATCACCTATGGTGTCAGATGAAGAGGATGAAAATCTTCTGTTGTCAACTGCTTTCTGGTGGGAAAGCAAGAAACTTTCTTCATATAAGCGGCAATTGGACTACCAGCGGTTGTTCAAGGCTACTGCCAGAGGCCGAAAAAATATGAAGATGTGGGGAAGACATCCCACAGAAGTCCAACACGCTGATCTGCCACTGGACATGCCCAGCTGGGCAGTGAAAATTCCAGTAGAAGAAGACCAGCTGAACAACACTGCTGATTATGATTCCTGAGACGCATTTCTGATGTCCCATGCTGTGATGTTGCTTGAATATTGCTAAAAGCGGAGTAAAACTATACTCACTTACTCTTATGTCCCTTTCGGCTGATGTTATGTACATGTAGCTAGATACATAATTAATTAACCATGTTCAATGTGTTAAAAAATCATGTTTGGAATTTTAAAAAACTGGAATGGAATGTTTGCACAATCAAAGAGTTTTTAAAAAATTACTTATTTTTAGTGCTTTATTAATGTATGGGGGCATAGTTGTTGAAATTTGTTGACTGTTAATAAACTTTTCATTCATTTGTGTTCTATTCTGTTATTTGTCATCTTAAAGGTTTTACCATTATGCAATTGTAAAAAAATACCTGATTTGCTATCTGATACATGAAACACCTGGGGGAGCAGGTAAATAGCCAGCATTCAGTTTCATGGAAACCAGGTTGGAAACAACAATATGCTAAACACATGGAAAGCAGCAGGAGCCTAAATGGAGGAGTGGGTAAAGTCCCGACATGGATACCAACTGGTGCAAAATGTAGTTTTCATGAAAACCATGTTATGACCAGGAAACTAGGTTGAAACCAACAACAAACGAAACCATGGAAACCAGGTTGAAACCTACAATAAACGAAAAAATGGAAACCAGGTTGAAACCTACAATAAGCTAAAACATGGAAACCAGGTTGAAACCTACAATAAACTAAAACATGGAAACCAGGTTGAAACCTACAGTAAATTAAAACATGGAAACCAGCTGGATCCTGCTTGGAGGAGTGGGTAATGAATCGCACTGGAAACCATCCGGGAAATGGTGCAAAATTCAGTTTCAGTTTTCATGGAAACCAGAATGAAACTTTAGGAAACTACATAGAAACCAACTGGAAATGGTGGTTTCCATGCCGTTTCCTCTCAGTTTCAGTGTTCCGGAAACCAACTTATTTTTGTAGTGGGTGCATTTGTATGAAAGACACCAATGAGCAAACACACAACATTACTACTGAGAAACACGTGTATGACAGTTGAAAAACACTTCCAAGAGTAAGTACAGTTTGAGTGATGTTTATTGTTGACTTACTATGAAGTTGAAATAGAATTGTTTGTAGCAAATAATACTATGGTAATTAAGGAATTACGACAATTTTTATATATACAGTCATCCCTCGCGATAACGCGCTTTTCGATACCGCGGATTCGGTTAAACCGCGGGGTAAAGCATGGCTCCCAAGAAGTTCATGTGAATACACGTTGCGTAACAAGAGCAAAGCACTGACCTAAAAATCCATCCATAACAACGTGTGTTCTCCATATCTATTTGGGATCGTCAATTGATCCTTGATTGTTAAATAAACATCTACCTCATATGTTGTTGCATTATCTGTTGCTTGAGTAAATTAATGAGATCAGCTGTTTGAACTGTCTAAACTAATTTGAACATCAAACATGCCGCGTGTTGTCGGAGTAACAACATGGTGGATGCGTGCTCAGTGTCAACCGGAGTGGAATCCGGACAATAACCGGGAAAATAATAAGAATCACATCAAATATGAAAAAGAAAACATTCTCAGTACAGATAGCCTGAAACAAAGCACTTTGTAACAATTTCAATTAAGCTGTAATCATATTCAAAATAGGAGAAGTGAGTGCTGAAATCATTTTCTGTATAAAAGTTCAGGTCGCAGTTGTACCAAATGTGAATTTCACCATGGCATCTACGAAGAACAAACGTCAAGAGTTGCAGAGAAATTGGCCCTTATCAAGAAAGTTAGGAATGGAGAGTCACAGGCCAGGGTCAGTCGCAGCACTGGAGTCCCATCAGGCACCCTCAGGGGCTGTTTAAAAGATGAGGAGAAGTTGAAGGGATTCGTGATGGAGACGGGAAGATATCAGAGGTCTTGGCTTAAAGAAAGCTAAGACAGCATACGACACGACGCTGGACAAAGCTCTTTTTACATGGTTTACACAGTCGAGACATGACGGAACACCAATATCTGGGGAGTTTGTGAAAATTCAAGCACAGAAGTTTTCCAGACAGATTCATGGATCCGAGGACTCTTACAAGGCCAGCTCTAGGTGGCTATGACGCTTTCAACCGCGTCATGGAATTAAGTCATTTTCGGTGACTAGGGAACGTCATTCTGCCGACCAGGAAGCAGCTAGTAGTTATCCGACTGAACTATGGCAGCTGATCGAGTCCGAAGGCCTGGAGCCGGATCAAATAAATAACTGTGACGAAACTGGGCTATACTATAAGATGTTGCCGGACAGAACCTTATCCATGCCAGAAGAAAAACGCCCAGCTGGGTTCAAGAAGGCCAAACAACGCGTCACAGTTTTGCTGACAAGTAACAAAACAGGAAAGCATAAGCTGAAGCCCCTCATTATAGGAACGTCGCAGAATCCACGCTGTCTCCACCATGTCAACCGATCAATCTTACCTGCTGTCTACGCCACCTTCAAGAATGCCTGGATGACAGCAGCTATCTTTCAAGAATGGTTTTTCCATAAGTTTATTCCTGCAGTCAGACAATATCTACAAAGACTTGAGGAAAAGGCTATACTGTTGATGGACAACTGCCCGCCCACCCACCTACGACCACGCTGATATCGCATGACGGGAAGATTAGAGCAGTGCTTCTCCCAAAGAACACCACCTCTCTCCTCCAACCGATGGATCAAGGCATTATCCAAGCTTACAAGTCTCACTACCGAAGAGGACTTGTGAATAGAACCATTGAATCGGGACTCACTCCCGTGGATTTCCTAAGGACCGTTAGTGAAAGATGCAATTGTAGTGTATTGATGATACGTAGGGGTTAGGTGCTCTACCGCTATGTTAGACAGGCACAGGAGTTACGCCCCTTGGATGACTCTTACAAGTAAGATAATAAAAAGACTCCCTTCGAGCACATGTTCAGCCGACGACATCTTGTCTTGTGGTTTGTGGTTTGTGGTTCTGCCAAGGCTAAGAACACAACATAATTGGCGACGAGGATTGTTTTGAACTACTACGTGCATCCAAGAATCCAACGATGGCTGCCATCGGCAATATAGAGCCATTCGACGAAGCAAACGGTTCGTGGACGCCTACTCAGAGCCTGACAGCGCATTGGAGCTAAACTCCATTGGCTAAAAACAAGCAAGTAAACGCTTTCCTAGCGATTGTTGGGGAAAACATATGGATTGCTTAGGAGTTTATTGTCTCCGTGAAACCCTCTACTAAAACTTTGCCTGAATTAGTGGATGTTTTGACAGCGATTTCTCACCTAAACCGGGTTGTAATTTCACAACGACACAGATTTCGTGAACAGAATTCAAGGACCACACTAAACTATTTCGACTATCTAGCTACACTGAGGGAACTCACAGAGCATTGTGATTTCAAACAGGGACTCAATGATCAGCTTAGAGATCAGTTTGTGTGTGGGTTAGCATCAAACTCTATTCAAAAGCGCTTTATTATCTGAGGAAGGTCTCGACTTGGACAAAGCGTTAAAATTGCTGTTTCTATGGAAACTGCTGCCAGAGACATGCAGGAGTTGAATGTGAAAACTACAGCTCAGGTACACAGGATGTCTCAGAAAGGTGGAACTCGTGGAAAGGAAGACAAAAGGAAACAATTTCCTAAATGCAAGTCGTGTGGAAAGACTAACCATGATTCCAGAGATTGTTGGATGAAAGGTGTGGAGTGCTACAAATGTGGGAAAGTAGGCCATACCCAGTATATTTGCAAGAGTAAACAGAAACCACCCAGAGAGGGTTACCTTGGAAACAAAAAGAAGGGCCAAGTTCATCACATGGATGAAGCTAAGAGACAGTCGGAAGAGACTGTGGAGGATGAATGTGAGTTACCACTGTTTTTCATTAAAGATGAATCAGAGGTCATTGACAGTATTTGGGTTTACCCAGTAGTGGAAGGGGCTGAACTGAAAAAGACTTGACACAGGCTCAGCTTACTCAAAAATCTCTCTCGAAGAATACAAGAAGAGATTTGCCAAGATACCAATGAACACAACGGAGGTGATTTTGAAGACCTACACTCAGGAACCGGTGAGACCCGAAGGGACACTAAATGTAGCAGTACAGTACAATGGAGTCCACTATAACCTAAAGTTGTTCGTCCTCAAAGGATCAGGGCCAGCTCTGTTCGGACGGTCATGGTTACACAAGATACAATTGGACTGGCCAGCTATACGTCAAATTAGGAAAGTTCCTAAAGAAGCTAAGGAGAAGTTACAAGACATTTTGCAGGATCATGCAGAGGTTTTCAAGAATGAACTAGGTACATTAAAGAATGTAAAGCGAGGATTGAGGTAGAAGAAGATACCACTCCAAAGTATGTGAAGGCACGCACCAGTGCCATACTCTTTATGCTTCAAAAAGGTTGATGATGAGATTGACAGACTGGTGAAAGAGAACATCTTAGAACCGATAGACTGCAGCGAAAGTGGGCAACGCCAATAGTACCTGTGGTGAAGAAAAACGGATCAGTTCGCTCTTTGTGGAGATTTCAAAGTGACTCTCAATCCAGTGTTAAAGCGAGTAGAATACCCGCTACCTCTAATAGAAGATTTATTAGCAAATCTGTCAGGGGCCAGGAGTTCACAAAGTTGATCTCTCCAATGCATATCAACAAATGTTGGTAGATCTTATTTAATCAAGAAGGTTACTCGTACTGAACACTCAGAAAGGACTTTTTCGCTTCAACAGATTACCATTTGGTGTAGCCTCAGCACCCGCTATATTCCAGAGAACCATGGAACAAGTGCTTCAGGGAATACCAGGTGTTTTGTGTGTTACATGGATGACCTGCTTGTGACTGGGAAAACAGCAGAAGAACACCTGAGGAATCTCAAAAACGCTTTTGAGAAGGCTACAGGAATGGGGAATTCGTGTGTCGAGAGAAATGTTTCTTTTTCCAAGAATCCATCGTCTACCTAGGACATAAGATTGATAAGGATGGTCTTCACACAACAGATGATAAGGTGAATGCTGTATTGAATGCAC